AGAGAGGGAGACTTTCCCCCAGCCACCCCCCACCCCTTTTTCTCCACGACTGCACTTTGGAAGAGGTGCAGTCATTCCTCCCCACACCCCCTACCCTCTCTCCACTCCCCCAACTATAAATTCCCTCTGTAGCATGCTGCCCTTTTTTAATCCACATTTGTGTTTCAGATCATGTAGAAAGGACAGAAAGTGAGCAGGGAGCGGGGGCTTTTGTCTGTAAGTATATGCAATTCCAATCCACAGAATTTCATTTTACTTTTTGTTAATCCTCTCTCTCTCTTTCTTTGTTTCTTTCTCTTCGTTTCCTTTTGCCCTTAGCTGGTCTGTGCTGCAGCTTGCAGCACCCTTTCGCTGCACATTTCCAAAACAGGCTTTCTTATAGGAGATGAGAGAACGTGCAGTATATGTGCTTAACTCTTTGTCTTTGTGTTTTGAGGCTGGATTTTTGGGCTGGGGATTGTGCTGCACACATGCAAGGGGAGAAGAGGAGTGGTTCTGTAAAACTAATTTCTTTCTTTTTCGGTTTTTCACTCCGAGATCACCAAAATGCCTTTCTGATTTTTGTGCACTCAGATTTTTTTAGCATGTGTGCAAGGCTCTAGGATTGGGTTTTCGTCTCTTTTCTTCTCTCTTGTAAAACGAATCTCCCTCTTCTCCGCCCTGACACTGGATTCCTCTCAGGCTGCTGGTGTTTATTTTTAGAAAGCAGTCATTCTTGCAACTGCCTTCTGCGTTTTTGCATGTGCAGCAGTTAAATTTTGGGTGGTTCTTTAGGAAGAGAGAGGAGAAAAAAAAAAAAGAAAGAAAGAAACATGCAGAAACAAATGTATTTTGGTGTGCGTTTTTTGATGTGCTTTCTTCCAAATGTTCCTATGTCCATTTATAGATAAGAGTTTGCAGTTTTCTGTCCAGCATGTATGTATGTATTTGTGTGTAAACATATGACTCATACCTAATTATATCTCGTACATACACACTATAGGTAAGAAATATATAATCAGTAGAAGAGAAACTTTATTTTTTCACTTTGTGAGAACTGGTAAAGGAGGTGTGCTACAAATTCACTGAGTTAAAAGAGCAGTAATTTGAACGAGGTAGGACTTACTCTTTTTTTCCTCCCTATTAAAAATAGGTGTATGCGTGCGAGTATGTGTGTGTGGAATAGAGGGAGAGAAAACGGGAGGTTATGTAATGCAGTGCCATTTCCAAAAATACCTACTCTGGGCCGTTACATTGTGAATGCCTGACACTGTAATGCGTGTTTCTCGACTGCAAAAAAAAAAAAAAAGAAAGGAAAAGAAAAGCCACACTTTGTAGTATGGCTGCAAACAACGGACCACTTTTCACAGTAAGCAATGGTTGATAGGTTTTGTCTCCTTGCCTAATTTTTAGGTGTCTTAACCATTAGGACTCTTCAGAGAAGTACCAAGTGCTATGAATAGCATACAGTTTTGCAAATCCAAGTGCTAGGGATTCCTTTTTCATATATTTAATTCTACAGAACGCTGAAGAGCAGAGGAATATGGTATATAAGTGTACATGTGGTTAGAATAATTTGCATAACTTTAATCTTAACCGCTGAAGCTTATTCTTGACTCACTACTGTCACATTGGGGGAAAAAAAAAAAAAAAAAAAAAAAAGAAATAAAACCTTTTAAATATTGCGACAGTTCTAATTATGTTTGTTTTCATTGTTTTTTTTTAATTGCTTTCAGATCCTTGTGCTACCTGAGAGAAACTGCAATCCTAAGACTTAACAGAATCTAAAAATGGTAAGAATTAGCTGTTTTAGCAAAGCTTTTTTTTTTTTTTTTTTTTTTTTTTTTTTTTTTTTTTAATAAATACAAACCTTTTCCAATCTCCAGCATCCATTTATAAAAACAAACTTTTTGAAGTTAAGGAAATTTGCCATACAATGATGGATGTACCTTGAAAGTCTCCGTATGTTGAATCTTTGCTTTTCTTGCAATTTTTGAATAAAAATCTGAAATCTCTCTTTGTGTAGTAAGGCTTATTTAATTGCAAAACTGCATGCTTAGGTGACTGTGAAAAATACACATCAGAACACTTTTAGGAAAACATTCAGGCAAAACAGTATCCAGTAATTTCATTCTCCCTCCCCCCAAAAGAAAAAAAAAGAAATAGATCAGTGTAATTAGTAAATGAAGTAGATTTAATATTACTCTGTCAGGGAAGTACATAAGATGCAAACAGGTTTTTCTTATTATTTGGTAGTTTTTCATGAATTATAGCTTTTCTTAGTGATACAAATCTGTTTCAGAAAAAAAAAAGGAAAGAAAAAGGCTAGGCCTCAGCCTAACTGAACTTGCAAGCACTTGGAATATATTTAATAAAGAGTGTTCAAGAATTGTCCATTTTCTTCAGTGCTAATTGTGCTTATATTTTTTACTGAGTACAGCCCATATGTATTACTGCTGGCATGTATTAATTTTGAGAATGAAACAGATTATGCACCTAAACATTCTCTAAATATGGCGTTCCCTGGAATGTTTGAGGGTCAGCAAGACAAAGACAGTTCTTTACTGAGGAAGTAGTAAAGTAGGCATAATTTAATTAAATGATCTGTAGTCATCCGGAATTCTTGATTGAAGACCCAACTATTCCTGAATGCGTGTGTGAACATAAGTAGGATTTATTTTGATCGCTAATAGTGTGCAGTGTTATCATAGACAAAAGTGTGTTAATGTATAAGGGGCAATACCTTCCCTAAATTAGCATTGAGTAAATATTAGAATGACCACAAATTACTTTCTATATGTGATGGAAAATAATGTGTGATATTTTCAAGGACACACTACTATGAAAATTGGGTTAAATTAATTGCATTAATTATATTACACTTGTGTGGGCCTTTGAAGTTGTTTTGATGTGGAGGAGGAAGGATGAAGCAAAGGGCGTTTAAAATACAATATGTCATCTGTAGTAAGGTTTTTTTCTTTAAGGCTCCTTATTTCATATCATTCCCATCTGCAAAAATAAACTTGCAAATTCTGGAGTTTTAATCTATTCTGGAACCTACTTTCATCAAAGTGCTTTGCTCATCTGTACATAAATGAATAGTTGGGGGTGAGGAATTATAAGGGAAATGATTCACTTAAGCTGTGAATAGAAATCGTGTTAAAATACATTCTGTTCACACAACTGTGGAATACTGGATAAGGAAACTGTTTTTCTACCAACACCAAGGTGACAATCAGCCCACATTTTGAGATGGTATGCGGGCTGTTAAGTGCAATATAAGCCTATCTCTGGAACAAAAGACTATTTTAAGTTTTGTTAGGCATAAAATAGCCTTTGGTTTTTACCAGCAGATGGTCCTATAAATCTAGCAAGGTTCCTGTGGTAGTCAGAAAAATCAGTTTTGTGAAAACAATCTCCATGTCAGAACATAATATACAAGTTAGAACTATCCAAATACAGAAAGTAGTATGTAATTACCCACTTGTTCACTGAGGTGGGTATGCACCTTTTGTTTTTGCAATGTAACATAAATCAAAATCTGATTTGTCTGTTTTTGAAAAGTTCTGTATTTGTTACGAAAATTCTTAATTCCACTCATTTGTGATTGTTTCAGAATTTCAATGTAAGGAAGATGAGTTTTTGCTCCAACTTAGAAGGTTGCCTAAGATGTGATATTTGTCAGGATCTCTTTGCCTACTGACACCATTTTCCTCCCTTTCTTTCTCCCTTTCTTTCTCCCTTTCTTTCTCCCTTTCTTTCTCCCTTTCTTTCTCCCTTTCT